CCCCCCCCCCCCCCCCCCCCAGCACCAACACTTGGGTCATTGTGACTAGAGAAGGAGCCTCTGTGCTCTGCTAATGTTCTGCGTAGGTGATGGTTTGCTGAACGTTCTGTCCATACAAAACAAGGATACCATTCTATATCCTTCCTTACTGGCCCTCGACCACCATGAGGACTATTTTCACTGAGCTTAAAGTTCTTCCCTGCTAGCTATGTACTGTGCCAGTGCCATGTATTTCATTACGGTAGTGTCTCACTTCAAGATACCACTTTCTGCCGTTGTCAAAACCCCACACCAAATCTCAGTATCTAAAATAAACATTTCATTATTTCCCATGATTCTGTTAACGATGAGCAGTTCTGTTCCACATGGTATCTGTTGAGATGCCAGCAAAGTCCAGCATGCCCCAGTCACAGTGCTGCACTTGGGCCACTGCTGTGATGTAGAGCCCAACCTGGACATTTGACTAAGGCCATCCCCTATGTCCAAGAGGTTCTTTAGGCTAGCCATCAATAGGGTTGATTTCCAAGAAGAAAATCCCGGGTCCCAAATTCAGAAGGCCTATGTCACTTGAGGCTCTACCTTAGATATCATGCTAGCACAAAAAACAGTAATGGTGCCATAATCCACTGTGGGATGCCGTGACCATGCAGGGAAGAACAAGGCATCAGAAAAGACTTCTTTGAGAGCAATCATTTCACTCTGGTAAAGTGCTATGGAGGTGTAGAGGGTTGGTCAGATAGGGAAAGGTGGGGAAGGCACAGAGGTCAGAGTTTCAGTCAATAGAAAAAGCAAACAGAGATAGGTAATGGTCATTCGGCAATCCCCTGATTAGTTTATTAGGCAATCATAAATAATGTTCTGGATAAAAATCACTGTATTCATTGGAAGCCCTAGGAGAAAAGGACTGAACAAATAAAATTAAGCTGGATATGAAGGACATAAACTAAAGTTACTGAATAAATACAATCCTGAAATCCCAATGGACCTGAATTTGTTTTGTTTGTTTGCTTCTCTGACAACGGGGTTTCACTATGTATCTTTGGTGGCCTGGACCTTGCTTTGTAGACTAGGAGGACCTCTATCTCAGAGATCTACCTGCCTCTTCCTCCTGAGAGCTGGGTTTAAAATGCTCCACTGTGCTTAGCTCTAAGGTATTAAAGGTTAAGAAAGGTTGCTTTACTGTTTCTGCAAGCTATCTGTACATCATATACTAACTTTAGATGATGGTTTGTTTTAGAAATAACATAAATTGGCAATGCTTTTAGTAAGCCACTGTATTATCTACTCTGAATCTAAAACAATACAATGGCTTTTGGCTTTGGAGTTTTTATGGAGACAGGCTTGTTATGTAGCCAGGGTTAACCTGGGGCTCATGATTCTCCTGCCTCAGTTTCCTGAATGCCAGGATGGTAGTCATGTGTGACATATGGACTCTAAAACATGTTTTAAATTACAGAACTTGGAGCTGTATAATATACTGGTGGGTGGATAATTCTCACAGAGATGGCATAGGAAGGCAAGTTTGAATTCTTATTTCTCATTATTAAAAAAAAATTTCCTGACCAACTCCCCAAAACCCCCAGAGTAAGAAAACCCGTAATAAAATGGGGTCACACCCAGGCCCTCCACAGTCTCTTGTCACAGATTCTCCTTTTAGGTTACCATGCAGAGAAAGGAGGACATCAGTTAGTGACTCGTCATCCTTCTACAGCCTTCACAGAGCAGTCACGTGGACTACAGAAACCAGAATCTACTCTTTACTGAATAAGTAAACATGGTCAGAGCAGTTAAGTAGCTTCTCACAAACAAAAGGGTTACGGCCCAGGGTTGAGCTTGAAAACATTGGTAATAGTCTTCCCTAGAAACACGCAGCTGCAAATACTCAAGAAAACATTTGTTATCATCTCTTTTAAAGTGTAAAAAAAGAGATTTTTAGATCTGGCAAGGACAAACTAATATACTTGAAAAATACTTAAAAGCAAGATGCAGCCACTCAATATAAACCCTTTCTCTGGGTTAACATTTATACATTCAGCTATGGAGAGAGCAGGCATGCCAGGATAAGGCAGAGCAAGAAGAACAGTCTTCCCTCTGTTCTCCTGAGACTGCAATCCTGCTGTGGTGAGGATGCAGAGAGTGGAAAGTGGGACGCCATCTTCTCCAGATCTCGTAGTGACCAAATGAGTGAGCAGAACAATGGGATAATCCTAGTAGATTCAATGAGTGGCTCATATGCAAACAAGATGCAGAAATGGAGTGGATGGAACAACCCTGAAAAACAGCACCAGTCAAAAAAGAGCTTCAAGTTTAGCTGCTCATGTTCCAAATATAGATAATGCTTGTTATGTCCCAACAGATCTAAATCTTAGGGAAATA